CCTCACATGCATGCAGAACACGCAGCCCCTTGTGCAACATGATGAAAAGTACTGCTACTTATAGTGTTTCTATCAAAGGCCTCTAGAATTTGGGTTTTAAGACCTGTCTATTTCTGTCATACAAAATATACTTTAAACAGCCTGTTGCCATGTAATTTAAGACAAAGTGTGATTTGGTGGACTTTAAAATGTTATTAGAAAGAGGAGGACTTTTTGGTATGTAAAATGGCTGCTTTTAAATAAAGACTCTGTCGCTCATTTGAGCAACTAGGGCTCTACATATCCCCAACAGAATCTTTCTTTACATTAGTTTCAGTGGTGTTTCAAAGGAAGTGCTGCAGCTGCCAGTGCCAAGGGAGAGTCAGAAAATCTGGCCTCTAATTCTGACTGCTATTGATTTGCTGTGTGATCTTCAGCAAGGCACGTAACTTCTCTGTGCCTCAGTTACCCCATCTATAAAATGGGCATACTGGTTCTTACTCTCTTGTAAAAATCAATCTATGAAAGAAAGTGTGATACAAGTTCAAACTATTAGTAGTAATAATTCTTTGGATACAAGATTATCCCTACTTATTTAAATTTGATTTTAAAGAAAGCCAGTCTTAAGGAAGCATTATTCTGGTGATCATCTTTGACGTGGTGTTATTTTAAGATTATTATGGTGGGTTTCCCAGTCATTAATGTAAATTATCAAGGTACTCCTATATTGTTTCAAAAACTATTTTATTTCAGCCATGCAACCTTAAAGTTTCTTTCAATATATACAGCAATAATCTTTAAATAAATTGGCTGTTTTTATGCCTAAAAGCTAGTAGTTCTAATAGCAAATTTCAGTATAAGACCTAGACCAAAACCATTGCTCTTGTGCTTCCTGATGGCTTTGTAACAGTATTTCAAGAACTAACTCTGTTAATTGAGTAGTGCGCCACTGCTGACCTGGTGCACAAAATAAAAACAAATACAGCTTGGTAATTTCAAGTTTGTGTTAAGTATGGGAGGTAGGGACTCAATAGGTCAAATACTGGAGTCCTACTCAGTGGAAATTTTGCCTTTAATAGCAGTCTTGATTTGGTGTTGTGCTTTTTTATTTTTGTTTAATGGCTTCAAGGCTCCATCGCCAGATTTTTCAGCTGTGACCACTGGTTTTATGTGTCTCAGTTTTTAAGTGCCCAATCTAATGTACCATGGGGCTGATTTGTAGAAGTGCTGAGCAGTTGGGTTTGTGGGTGCTTAGCACTTCTGAAAATCAGGCCCAGGTTATCTCAAATCAGGCTCCTGAAACTGAAGTACCCAGCATTGGTGGCAATTTTTCAACCTGTGGTGCATTCCTGTTGCCATTGTGAGCAATACAGAAGAGATTTGCTGTGAAACAGTAATATTTGTCTTTATGCTCCTCATTACATCATAACTTTCCTTTAAAATAGATGTAGGAAAGTTAGAATTTTTCTCTTCTTTAATTAATCTGGAGACAATCTTATATCACTTTTTTTTTTATTTAAAAATTACAAAATGCAAATTTCACATTTATTTTGTCTTATCTTACAGTGTTTGGACGAGCAATACATGCCATAGCACGAATTAGTGATGAGTTTTGGTTTGACCCAAATGAAAAAGGTGTAAGTGCATTTTGGGGTTTTTTAATCATTTAAATGGCTTTTTATGGGGAAATACAGTCTCAACATTAATTTAAGTAGCTTTTTGAAAATTTTTCTATACACGCCTTAAAGCATAATTCAAATTATCTTCCTTACCGTCTCTCATTTTTTGCATGGCCACACTCCATTTTTTGGGTATCATCTTAACTATGTGAATGATATCATGGAAACTCTGTTCCTGCTTTTTATAGTTTTCCTGCTTTTTCATAGTTGCCAAACTAGAATTTGTCTATGACAGTAGGATCAGTGCCACAGATGGTCAGGGTCAGGGTCTCAGTTTTACATCTAATTTAAAATTACCTCTTAAGACCATATTCCAGCATTTCTTCATTTCTGACTCCTGCAGAATCGTCAATACCACTTCCTGCAGAATTTGGCATTTCTGTGGTGGTCTCATCCAGTCATGCACTGACCAGTCCAATCCTACTTAACTTGTGCAAAGATCATAGCTTAAGTTGGGGTGATTGCAGGCCATCAGATAAAAAAATGAAGATATTATATTTTTAATTTGTAATGTAAACCAGCCTTCTCATATAGGCATTAATAGACCCATGCACACCCACTTGGATGAGGGAAAGGAACTATTAGATTTTGCTACCAGAGGCTCTGATCCATCAATGCCCTTAAGCACAAGCTTAATTTTAAGCATATAAATAGTCCCAGTGGGGTAAAGTGGAACTATTCACATGCATTCATTTTGCTGAATTGAGGCCCTAGATTTTATCAACCAGTTCTGAACTAGTAGGAGGAGTAAAACTGATTTGTTTAAACATGATGATGATGTATGTATATGCATCCAACCAACCAACCATCTGCTGTATTTATTATTAGATGTATACATACATATATGTGTTTTGTTCTTATATACGATATTGGAGTATAGAATTAAATAAAAATATATATTTCATCCATTTTTTATTATAGTTTCAAGATAAAATATTAATTTTTAATTATATTTTTAGCTTGCTCTAAGATCAGTGAATTCTTCTATGTCAGCGTATGCATGTGTCTTCTTTTCATCTATGTTTTTTCAACATTACTGCTGGACAGCTGAACCTGAACTGTTTCAGAAAAAAAGACAGTTACGCCTTACGTGTAAATTAGTAATGAAGGTAAATCTTAATGGACTAGTAAAGATGACTTTTTAAACAGCAAGGCAATTCAACTTTCTAATGGAATTGTGAGTGTTGTAGGGGACAGAATGATATATTACTCTATTTCAGTAGAATTCATCCTTTGTGGAACTGGGGACCATTTGTGGCCTTTAAAGCTCTAACTTGTAGCCCTCAAGACAACTGAGGCAGGAACAAAATTTGTATTTATTTATGATTAGACATGTTCCCTGAACTATGCCCTGCAGTTTCATCTAAACTGAAGTGTTTGAAATAGCTTCATCACTACAGAGAGGCAGTAGGGAGCACCTTGTTTCTAATTGCCTCTGGCCATTTACCCTGCTGTCCCAAGAGCAGGGCTGGTGTGAGCCAGGAACACTCTGAGCAATTACTGTCCCATCCCTGTTTCAGCTGTTCATTAGCTGCCCTGTTGGCCACCTGTTACATTGTAGGGGTGGGAGGAGAGGGGCACTCTGGTTGCTTCATTCCCTGCTTACTTGCCTGTCTGTGGAAGCTATAAAGATATCAGGATAGGAGCTTCAGAGGGTCTGCCTGAGACTAAGAGAGCAGCAGGTAGTAAAATGTGGCTCACTTCTACTACACAGCCACCTAGGTCAGCCCAGGAGAGGGGAAAAAAACAAAGCTGGAAACCAACAACTAGATAGGACTCCTTGATTCTCTACCCCAGCCTAGGTTACAGTAGTCTTTAGTCATGGACCAGCTGGAGTTATCCAGAGTGAAACACACACTCAAGCCACTATTCCTATCCCGATCCTCCCCTGACATGCCCCCTCCCGCACCATGGGCTGTGGGAAGGAAGGGGTAGGAGCTAGCTGTGTTGGCTTTACAGCTATTGAGGAGTCCTCCTGAAACCCTATTTCTTCTCTCTACACTACCTGAGCTTTCCAAAGGAAACAGAACACAGCAGAGAATCTGCCACAAACTATTGATTGTGGGGTTTTGACCTTTTGAAATAATATATTTGGTCCTCCGAGTAGAAAAAATTGATGCTGCTGCTGTACACTAAATACTATTCTTGGAGATAAAAATACAAATATATTTGTATGTACAGAACTAACTCATGGATCCATCTTTCTCTTGTGCTTTTGCTAATTTAATTTGTTTTAATTGTGTGGTTGTGTAGATTTGCCTGACTGTAACTGTCATTGCTTTTCTTTTTAATGTTTCCATTTGTGATTGACATACAATTATTTAGCATTCTTTGTGTTGTTCTTATGGTGCACACTGTTAATGCACTTTTTCTTACAGTCAGTCCTCCCTGTGTTTAGATGTCTAAACACACTAGAAAGGAATGTAGAGAAGTGCAACATTTATACAAATGTTAATGATTGTCATATAACTTTTAAGCTCTTCTGCAAACATGGTAGGTTAAATGTATATGACTTTTTAGAAACATTAAGTACTTTAAACTTGTAAATATTTTGTCACCTTTGTATTTTTGATTATTAAACATATTTTCTGTCATTGGCAGAATGTTATGCCTAACATTTTCCATTATAAACGATTCTTGCAACCGTTTCCTATCTTTTGGGTGCTTGACTTTGCAAACTAAAAAGCTTTGCAACCTAATAAAATCTAAAGTGGTTTTGTATAATATAAGACACTAGTGTATT